GGACTTCCTCTCAATATTCAAGTCTCAGCTCAAACTCAATTCTTCATGGAGGTCTTCCTGAACCATCTTGTCTAAAATAACCCTCCCAGTCACTTTTGATATCTTGCTTAGTGATGCTTTTGTAAAATTATGGGCATGCTGACAGGCACATTTGGAAAAAGTAACAATTAACTTCTGGAAATGAAAAGTATAATGACAAATTAGAAACTCAAGACACAGGTTAAATCGTGATTAAAACAGCTTGAAAGAGAATTAGTAAATTGGGAAATATTTCTGAATAAACTAATCATGATATTACACAGAAACAAAGAGATGGGAAATATGAAAAGGAAGAAATAGGGAAGATAAAATAAGAAGATCCAAAATATGTCTCAATGGATTTTGACAGGAAATAAAAGTGAGAGTAAAAATATATTTGAACAGATAATGGCTGAAAAATGTCCACAATTGATGAGAGATTTCTCCTTAGTTTTAGGAAACATATAACTCCTAAGTAGAATAAAGAAAAGAAATCTGCTTCCCCGTCACCTCATCAAACTGCATGTGACCTGTGCTGCCTTATTGGACTGCCGGAATGTAGACAGAAATGTACTGTTCTTTTTTTAAAAAAACAATGTAATTGCTACTTGATAAGGACAGAACATTATTCTAGTTTCATGTTTAATCTGAATTAAACATATTCTGTGGCTTATATAAAGAAAGAAAAAAAAAAAAGAAATCCACTTCCAAACATATCCAAGACAATCTGCAGAATACCATAAACAAAACAGGGAGAGAAAGAGCGAGAGAGAGCCCAAAAGTAGAGTGTGTAAAGTTACCTATAAGGAAAAGACTATTAGTTGGCAGCCACAGCAATCATAGCAAACAGATAATTATGTACCTAGAGAAAACATCTTTTAGGCACAAAAGTGAAAAAGAAAATGAAATAAAAACACAAAAAACCCTGAGAGTTTACTACCAATAAGAACATGTGAAATGTAAGAAGAAATGATAAGCAAAAGAGATAACTATATATGTAATTCTCAACAAAAATTGATGATATAAAACAAATGGTTGTGTTTAAGTTGTGATGTCACAAGAAGGGAAACACAGCACTGAAGATAGCTGTTAAGTGTCAGGGCAGGTGACTCTAAATTTCTTATATTAAGTACACCTTTAAAACCTAAGGTAACTACAAACAGAATAGCAGTAGAGTATAATATAACTTCAAAATAAGCAAAGAAAGAAAAGTGAGGAAACCCAATCCAAAAGAAAATAAGGAGGAAAAAAAAGCATAACAAGACAAATAGCAGATAAGATGGCTGAAACAAATAATTACAAGGGTAACAAATGCTACAAAACAATATAGGATATTATATAAAAATACAGTAAGAACCCCAAATTAAATGCGAGTAAGAATAAGAATATCAACGTGTGTGTCTGTGTACATCCAATACGGGAAGTGTGGAGGAGGTTTTCCTAAGAAAGTAATGTTTAAAAGGAGACCTGGAAAAAAATAAGTAATACGTATTTGTAAAAAAAAATTGGTTGGGGTAGAAGGCAGCTTTTCTGTCAGTGTTCTGAGGTTCTGAGAGTGTACGACATATTTAAGAAAATGAGAAGAAGCCAATATGAAGACTAAAGAAACAGAGACACAAGATGTGGCTGGATAGGTGGGCAGGGGCTGGTTCCTGGAGTTTAGGATTTTAAACTTTATCTAAAGGGCAATATGAAGCCATTAAAGCGTTTTCAGCAGGATTGCGTAGGCCTAGATCTGGAATTTTAAAGTATCACCTGTTTCTTCTATCCCTGCAGTCAGAGAAGGTTAGATTAGAAGGGACACAGGACCATCTAGACATATGTTTTATTTTTCAGGTAGACTAAAACATGGCATCTTCCCAAGCATGGAATACAACACTTTCTTCCACATGTTTTTAGCCACAGAAAACAAAAGCTCGGCATAGAAAAAGATAGACAATTTCATTAGCGGACATAGAAATTTTTTTGAACTGAACTTTAAACTGTTTAGTGATTTCCAAACAGAATTACAAAACTTAACTTATAAACCACATAATTAAGCATACATAACATCATAAAACTATACGTGGCTCTTTTATACATAGTAACACCTACCTTAATCACAGCCAGGAAAGCAGAACAGTGGTGGTGGCAGCAGCAACAAAGGATACTTAATGACAGCTAAATATGCGGCTGAAATTCATATATTTTATTCAATATAGTCTCTTAAATAATCACTTGAAGCCTACTTAGTATTAGTCCTATACATAATTTGTTGACAGGAAATTTAAACTAGGAGTTGTGGATTCCATAGTTTACTCTACTGATAACATTTCGAAGTAAGTAAAAAAAACTTATCTTTTGCTAATTAAGAGACGTTGTTGTGCACATGTACCCTAGAACTTAAAAGTATAATAATAATAAAAAAGAAAATAATCCTAAAAATTTCAAATCATTACATGGTAGTACAATAGTTTATGTCCATTATCATGACACAATGTTCCGCACAGCATTTTAAAAAGTATTAAAATGTATATTTCAGAATATTTTCTAACCAAAATGTTTAAAATAGAAAATTTCACTGCAGAAACATCCTAAATGCAATGGTCAAGTCTCAATTCTCATTTTAGTTATCAGTGGCATTTGAGGATGGTGAAGATTTTTAATTTAATAAATAAATCCAATATACTGTGTACCATACCAAGCAGTGGAGACATAAAAGTGAAAAAAGACAAGTTTCCCGCTCCCAAAGGCAGATAAACATGCAAACAATTACAATGCATTGAGAGGTTTACTATGATGAAAGTTCTACCAGAATACTCATTGGATCTCTTATGGTAGAAAACTGCATTAACAAAGTTAATGAAGTATTGCTGTTCCATCTCTGCCAAATCTGATCTTGTTCTGTACAGGATTGCCTATGCTTCATAGTTGTAACAGTAATGATAAAGGTCTCTAAGTTGCACATTTCTTCTTGTACGTTGGAATTTGTGAGTTTTTACTCTGGCCCCAGATTAAAACTGATATTTAAAAAATACATACTTGACACACTAATGTTATTTATACCTGTTTCTTAATGTACTAGGACGAAAAAGAATCCTGGGTATGGGCAATGCATGCCTTACTTTTCTACCAGCTTTTGAGGCTCAGAGTATTTATACAAATCCAAATAATTTAAAATGTACAAAGAATATATCCTCAAATATTTGAAATGCCTGGATAGAAAGTACAATGGAGAGGAAAATAGGCATGTTTTCCTCAGGGTAACCATATTTTAAGTGAGTATAGAGTTTGTGAAAGAGAAGGCAATGATAATGAGGAAGATGGAAACTGACTTATGAAGTACAACTAAGGAAGCTGAAAAGATTTGTATAGTAAACAGACATCTGAAGAAACAACAGTTTCAACAAACATTTACAGCATTACTATGTCAAAGGACTAGAGTTTCTCATATTGTTGCAGAAAGAAAAACAAAACAAAATGGAAGAAAACCCTAAAGGTTATCATGGAAAAGAGAAGTCTTGGAGACATAATAATTTTTACAAGTATTTACAGCAAAGTAAAATGCTACTGCAGATGAAAAAATATAAAACAATGAGTACATTCTTCATAGATATGAGCTTAAATATTAGAGTTGTCAAAGATTTTTGGTAAATACTTATTCACTCAGAGGCTGAATTACCATCTCTTATAATACAGAATAAAAGAATCCTATATAGGGAAGGAGGCTAGGCAAGATATTCTTATAAGTATCTTTTTCTTTGCTTATTTGCCTATTCCAATATCTTCTTCTGAGACTTGTCTTTGTCTATTTTTCTCATCAGTTGTCTGTCTAACTGGCTGTAGTTCTGTTAGCTGAATGCTTGCTAGATACATCAGTTACAGAGGAGGCCTGACATTTCACTTTCTTCAGTGACTTTATATGTAAGTTTTAGATTTGAGTATAGTCAAATATGCAAAATTGTTGTATGGATTGTGATTCTTGCATTTTAAGAACTTCTTCCCTATTTTGAACTAAGGTATTATCCCGTAATTTCCTCTCTTTTAATTCTGCTTTTCACATTTAGCCTTTAAACCCAACTAGAACTATTTTTATGAGTGGTGTAAGGTAGGGATCCGCCCCTTATCCTCCTTTTGGGTAATCAATTGCCCTGGAACTATTTAGGAATACGGTATCCTTCCCAGTGATTTATAATGACATTTCTGTCTTGTACTAAGATTCCACTAATGTTTGGGAGCTAATGTTTGGACTGATCTGTCCTACTTATTTTTATCCTGGCCAATAGCACCCTGTTTTAATTACTGCACTTAATAAGTGCTGCTACATTTAGCAAGACTTTATTTACCACCTTGACTTGGTCATTCTTGGCTCTTTAAGTCTCGCTTGTAAATTTTAGGATCGGCAAGCCACATTTAACAATAAATCCTGTCAGAATTCTGCCCGGAATGACACTGAATCTGTAAGCATCAGTCTTCACATTCGTTTAAGGAATCATTCATTTTGCTGCTCTTCTTTTTCTTCCTTCAATATATTTTTATAATATTCTCCATAAGACCTGATACAGTTTATGTTTCATTCTTAGGCATTTCACTGTTTTTCCTGTTGTTGCAGCTATTGCAAATGTAACTTCTTTAAAACTAGATTTTCTAATAGAGTAGTTGAGTAAAGACCTCTCATCAAATGTTTAAATCAAATGTTTAAAATTGATGATAGTGTGAATTTTTTGTGTCATCTTTTATTTTAAATCTTTAGGTTATAATGTTTTTGGTAGTGAAAGTGCCCATAGATTATTCTTTGTTTGATAAGCGCTTTTATAGAATAAATTTTTTTCGTATCTATTAGGATATTTAAGAAAATTTTTCAAACACTTAATCATCCATGCCTCCTTAGTCATTATTATATCCTTATACCTCACTTTACTCAATTTGCTGATATTTATTAAGGATTTCTGCACCCAGGTTTGTAAGTTGCAGTATTTCTTTCTTTTGCTATCTTTGTCTGGTTTTGGCATCAAGGTTATACCAATATTTCTTTTTTTTTTCCTACTCTTTGAAACAGAGTAGAAAAAAAGGAAAGCACGAATAGGAATTATCTGTTGCTTTAAGAGTATATAAAGTTACCTATAAAACCATTTGGCATGGAGAATTTCATAAAGTTGTGGTTTATACTATCCATAAATGTATCTATATCATTTATGGATAGATTATCTATTGTCATCTAATTTGAATAAAGTAACTCACCAAATAAATAACTGGCTTAAATAAGTATTGTTAAAAAATTAGAGTGAGAATAATATGAAAAATGTAAGCACTAGCAAATAGCAACATTAAAAAAAGGCATAACTGATACCGCTATCACTAGTATGAGCTCTTTATTGACTATACTATGAGGTAAAAACAGTGAAATCAGGTCAAAAAAAGGTTAAATTCTTAAGGAAGCTATGTGAAATATGGGTTTATACTTTCTATCACTGCTAATGAAACTCTTCTAAAGTATATTATCATTCAATAAGATACTGGCAGTGAAGTCATCGTGATTAGCAAGACATTTAAAAATTATTTATAACATCTTTATTTAAATCCTAAAATATTTATAGAAAGATTAGTACACATACTGTGTTAGTGGGTACATACACACACAGCCATATGTACACACAAATGCATCAAAGGGCATGCGCTTCATTTTTCCTTGTTTGGTGTACATGTAGACAAATTTTAAGAAACTACCAAACCATACCATGGCAGAATGGTTTCATAAAAGAAAATCTGATTTTGTTACTCTCAGTCTGGTAGCTTTTAATGACCCCAAGAAAAGTCAAAATTTGGTCCCTACCTCCTTCTTTTTTTTTTTTTGAGACGGAGTCTCGCTCTGTCGCCCAGGCTGGAGTGCAGTGGCGCAATCTCAGCTCACAGCAAGCTCCGCCTCCCGGGTTCACGCCATTCTCCTGCCTCAGCCTCCCAAGTAGCTGGGACTACAGGCGCCCGCCATCTCGCCCGGCTAATTTTTTTTTTTTTTCTGTTTTTAGTAGAGACGGGGTTTCACCATGGTCTCGATCTCCTGACCTTGTGATCCGCCCGCCTCGGCCTCCCAAAGTGCTGGGATTACAGGCGTGAGCCACCGCGCCCGGCCCCTACCTACTTCTTGAGCTTCATCTATCATCATTCTTCCCCGTGCCCTCTATACTTCAAACCACATTAAACTAAATAATTTCTATCCTCAAGTAAGAAGACTAGAATCACATATGACAAGAAGTCATCCAAAAACTTAAAATTATCAAGAAGACTAGTTATAGATTTATATCCACTATCACTACTCTTTCCAACCTGAGGATTTTCACATATTTTTGCACTTTGTTTAGACTATTACAATAATTTAATTAATTACATGACTTGTGTTCTACATATACATGGATCTGTCTTGCCACTTAACTTCACAGAATCAAAGATCTAAGGACTGGAAATTTACTTTTAAAATGCCATCTATTCTTTTTTTTTTGAGATGGAATCTTGCTCTGTCACCAGGCTGGAGTGGAGCGGCGCAATCTCGGCTCACTGCCACCTCCACCTCCTGGGTTCAAGCGATTCTCCTGCCTCAGCCTCCCGAGTAGCTGGGACTACAGGCGTACACCACCACGCCCAGCTAATTTTTGTATTTTTAGTAAGGACGGGGTTTCACCATGTTGGCCAGGATGTAGATCTCTTGACCTCGTGATCCACCCACCTCGGCCTCCCAAAGTGCTGGAATTACAGGGGTGAGCCACCATGGCGGGCCAAAATGCCATCTATTCTAACCACTCATCTGATGCTTTTCAATACCTTCAACGACGAGACAATCAGAGAAACAGTCCTTCTTTCCTTAGCAATTTCCTTAGAAATATTCTTTCTTATCTAGACCTGAAATCTGTTTCCCTCTAGCTAGTGATCCTAACTCAACTCATTGGACCATTCACAGAAAACTCAGTCCTACGTTAGTGTAACAGTCATACAAGTATTTATAGATCATTATCACATTACTTCTAAGGCTTCTTCTACGGTGATAAGGAAAGGGAGGTAGAGAGTACGGTGAGACTAGTATTTGAGTATCTTTCATGAGTTTGTTACTACATATTTAATTCTCACAGTGCTCCAATGGGTCCATTATTATCATGGCCAAATTACAACTGAAGAAATTAAAGGTCTGACAGGTAACATTACTTGTTCAAGTAACTTAAGTTAAGTAGCAGAGCCAGGATTTCAACCACAAGTCTGTCACATACCAAAGTCTATGTTCTAGTCTCTTCAGAAATCCCCAAAAGGAGAGCAGATATAAGGGAATATAAGGCATGGAAAGGCAAATAAAAACAATTCTAAAAATCCTCTATTTTCTGAGTTCCAAAATTCTATGCACTGATACTTTATTCCTTAAGCCTTCACAGGTATTCAACCCTTTGCAAGGATTTTTTTACTTATCTGTGGTGGCAGATATCATAAAAATAACACAGGGAACCCCCCTACCGGCTTTTTAAAGCTTATCAGCTATGGTTAGTGTTGGTGTATTTTATGTGTGACCCAACACAATTCTTCTTCTTCCAATGCAACCCAGGGAAGCCAAAAGGTTGGACACCCATGCAGTATCATAGTTATCTTTGACATTTCTTTCTCTGTCTTATAACCTATTATCTTAAAATTTGTCAGATATTGTCACATAAATACTTGCAACCTAGTGTTAGGGAACTAAAAAGGAAAAATTATTCCCACATTCCAGCCCCTCTAAATTTTAATCTGATTTACAAACTGAAAAGACTATATCTTCAAACACTAGCTAGTATACTCTTTGTCGTTTTTTTTTTTTTTTTTTAAAGAGACAGAGTTTCGCTCTTGTTGCCCAGGCTGGAGTGCAATGGTGTGATCTCGGCTCACTGCAACCTCTGCCTCCCGGATTCAAGCAATTCTCCCGCCTCAGCCTCCCGAGTAGCTGGTATTACAGGCACTCACCACAATGCTTGCTAATTTTGCATTTTTAGTAGAGACGGGGTTTCTCCATGTTGGTCACAGGCTGGTCTGGAACTCCCGACCTCAGGTGATCCAACCGCCTTGGCCTCCCAAAGTGCTGGGATTAGAGGCATGAGCCACCGCACCTGGCCTAACTAGTATATTCTTCTTAAGAGCCCCAAACTAACATCACTGCCTTCTGGAATCAAATTTAATGCTGACTTTTTTCTTATGGCTTCAAAGACTGACAACACTATTCCTAGCCCATATTAACAAAAGCTACCTAAATTATCCTTTGTTCTGATAAACACTTAAGTCCTTCACACACACTTAAAAGGCTCTTCCTCTTGCCTTTCCTCTGTGAAGTACCGGTTCTCTTTTAATTAAACTCTGTAAGTCCAACATGGTCATCCTTCAGGCTCCTTACCACAAATGTTTCTCCATATAGTTGGTTACATGATAACATTACACTTGTCACAGATATTCCATTTCCTCTGTTCCCAGTTACATTATAAACAACTGGAAGAGAAATCATCTACTTTTTTTCCCCTCGCTTAAATACAAAAAAAAACTGAACAAGCAAGTACTTACTGTTTTCAGCCGTCCACTATAAAAATAATTATTTCTTATAAACATCTCTTTATTTATATCCTTTATTTATATGCTTTGTTTTTAAGCTGTTTATTAGGATACACTTTTTTTATTGCAAATGGAGTTGCGAGTAACTCAAATTTTCTCTTTTATACACAAAGATGCAAATATAGAAGCTGCAAATAGGTGCTTTTCTCCAGTACATATTACATAAGCAAATTAAAAGTCATATTACATCCAAAATAAATATGGCTATGAATATAAAAGTTATAAATATACATTTAATGATATAAAACATCAAATTATATATCACATGCACACAAAAAATCTTACCTTGCTGAGTATTTTGTTCTTGCATTCGATTCACAGTGAGGTCTAAGGGGCCTTCCTGTTCTTCCTGAAGGGAGTTTTCTGCTTGATTCATTTGGATACTTTTACATACTATACTTGGTCCAATTGAACCATTTCTATTCTCTTGAGTTTTACCACTTTTTGAAATGTACTCAATCGCAAATTGACGTATCATCTTTTTCATTAATTCCTGAGCAACTAGGGGAATGTTAGGATCACAGTTCTGAGGAAGATCTAGGGAAGAAATAAATATAATAATCATTTTAAAAAGAGAAATGCAAATCACCAACACTTAAATTTATTTTTATTACAAATTAATGACTTCAGAAGTCTTTTAGCATCAGTCTGTAACTGCCAATGTTTTCTGGGAATTAGCAATAAAAGCTTTGTAGATTTAATTAGCTTTATAATAATATATCAACCAAAAATGTGGCATAATTATTTCTTACAATTAAACATTCTCTGGTACCAAACTAAAATACAGATAAAGAATTAGACATAGAAGCAGAACAACTTATTCTCGAGTTCTAATATTCATTCAGATGTACTTTACTAGATATTAAAACACTCAGTATGTGAACATAAATTGTATAAGTAACCAAATTTTATCCTAATGTACAATGTGCATGCATTAACTAGGAAAACATCTAAATTCTTATAATTCTGTATCCATTAAATTCTCCAATTCTGTAAAATGTGCATTTCATGTATGTCCTGAATGTCATCATCAAGGATTTTTTCTTTCCTCGATTTTTTATACAGAAATTTTTTTTTTTTTTGAGACGGAGTCTCGCTCTGTCCCCCAGGCTGGAGTGCAGTGACCGGATCTCAGCTCACTGCAAGCTCCGCCTCCTGGGTTTACACCATTCTCCTGCCTCAGCCTCCCGAGTAGCTGGGACTACAGGCGCCCACCACCTTGCCCAGCTAGTTTTTTGTATTTTTTAGTAAAGACGGGGTTTCACCATGTTAGCCAGGATGGTCTCCATCTCCCGACCTTGTAATCCGCCCGTCTCAGCCTCCCAAAGTGCTGGGATTACAGGCTTGAGCCACCGCGCCCGGCCTATATAGAAAAATTTTGATCATAAATAAAAAATGAAAGAAGAGTACAATGACACAGCTTCTACTAATATTCAAGAACTGTTACTAGTCTGCCAAATTAGCTTTCTTTTTACTTTATTTTTATTTGTAGAACCACTGAAACTGCAGAATAATGACAATTTACTCCTAAATATTTTAGCATGGATATCCTAAGATATTTTTGTAAAATGAGAATATCATAGAGAGTTTTAACCAAACCATTTTGATCAACTACAACTATAATAAAGTTCAACAGTAATAATACAACTCTATCTGAAACTTACACAGTTAGTAAAACAACTGAACGATTTTATAGTAAGAAGTGTGGGATAAGAACAGATCACTTATATACACAGTTTATAATAGTGATATAGAGATTTAGTATTGGGGGTGGTGGCTTTTATACACACATTTCTGGTCTGGCTCCATTCCTTTACTCTGATCCTTTAGATGCAGGGTGATTGGTAAATTGGGAAGGATGACTAGAGATACTTGTTTTCTGAGTAGGGATACACTTTTTCCTCTTAGAAATGGGCCTACTTGTAGAGATACTAGTTCTCTACTCCTTAAATGTCTAAACCCTTACTCAGGTAGATCAGTGTTAAATGAATAGGCCTTCTCTGATCCACCGTTGTTAAGAGACTGAAGTGGTAAGTCTCCCTAGTTCTGTGTTTCAGTATTAGTTAAAACACTTGTTTAAAAGACTTAAAGAGAAGCCTTCCAACCAGCATCTATCATTAATAGGTCCATCGCTCTAAAATGCAAGAAGGTTTCAAAATATACTATTTGGAGGTGAGGAGAGGCAACAAACCCACCCCCACCACAACTACCATCACATTTGGTAGCAAAACGTGACTTAAGCTGATATAAACTGGTCTTGCATAAATGTCAATACATTTGATCACAGGGTGCTATCTCAGACTTGTTGGAGATATTACAAAACATTGTATTACCTGTTTCAAAACAAAGAATTTTGAATTCTGAAAAACATCTGAAAGAGGGAACTATGGGCCTATAAGAAAAATACAATTTTAGCCTTCACTTCCATTGTTTGTTTAGAACTTGATAGGAAAGAGGGACACTATTCGTTTTCCTATTTGACCTAGCTATAGTTCGGGATCTTAGCCATCTTTATAAACTTAGGCTAGTTACGTATTCTCTCCATGCCTCAGTTTCTGCATTCATTAAGACAGAAATAATAATAGAACCTGGGATAATATTTATGGGGCTTGCTCACTGGATGCTGTAAGGATTATATGAGATTGTAGATAAAATACTTAACTCTGTACTTGGCATATTAATAGTCCAGTAAATGTTAGCCATTAGTAGAAATAATAGAAGAAAAAAAAGATGCAGGCTAAGCACTTATATTTTATTTAAATCACCAAATGGTAAATAAGTAAAAGTACAAGGGGTCTTCAAAGTTCATGGAAAACGCACATTATAAAAAAACTATGCATAAATTTCAAAAATTTTTTGCACCAAAATAAACTACTAACTTGTTATAACATGTGTAAACGGCATCTAGCTTGAGGCACTAAGAAGGATAAGACATCAGTTTGAAAACAT